TGGGAGTGGATTGGGTGTACTCCCTTTGTCCACACCAAAAAAACACTGGTGTCGCCGCCAAAATTAAAAAAAACATAATAAAAAAAAAAAAAAAAAAAAAGGGGGGGAAAAAAAAAAAAAAAAAAAAAAAAAAAAAAAAAAAAAAAAAAAAAGGGGGGGGGGGGGGGGGGGGTTAGAAAGAAATGTGCGAGATTCTGTCTACAGCCTCTTTTACACCAATTCCCAACCAAAAAAAAAGAAACACGGGAAAAAAAAAACGGCATAAGCAAACAATACAGTAAGCTAGAAGAGGGGAAGTTGAGAGGAGTTACAAAATGTTTGCAGGTAGATATATAGATAGTTATCTGTAATAACACGAAAGACAATTTCTAAAGAGGGGAGTCCGAAAACATAGATTTTAATTTCTCGGGAATAGTGAAAACACTGGTATAATTTCAAGCGTAAGATTTCATTTTGGGAAATTTGAAGCTTTTGAAACTTGTTTCCTCGGGCTTTCGTAAGAAATTTTCTTGTGTTATTACATATAACTAATTACATCTACAGCCCTTGAAAAGGATAAAAAAAAGAATGCAACTATGCTTTAATTAAATTATTCTGGTACAAGGTTTTTGTCCACTGAAAAGTAAAATTACTCAATTTTCTTATGGATTCCGTCTTAACTCTTGTTAAAAAGTGATCAAAAGCAAGAGTAAAAATGTTAAAAAAGACAATTTTAAAATATGTATGCATAGAAGTAATTTATTTATAATAATTTACTATCATTGTCATTATCATTGTAATACTTATATAACTACTAAAATAATACTTCTTGGCAGAGCTAATCCTGCGGAAGGGGCTTTAAGTACTTAATATTGTTGTTGTCAGCGCGTGGTGGTTATTATTTATTTTGTCATTTGTTTTCAGATTACTGGAGTCATCGTTTCGTACTGTGCCGTTATGCTATCAATGCCAACATGAACAAAAAGGATTTACAGATCCTTTACTTTTGTCGGTGAAACTGACTTCCATCCATTGTTCGTGGGTGGCAGTAAGAGTGATAATAAATATTTATTAATTATTGATATCGCGAAAATTAACATACACATCAAATGCGCATAGATTAATAGATCATATACTTACAACTACAGTTGTAAGAGTATGATTTCGAGAGTTTCTGTGTGTAGTCATATCTGTAAAACGATATTTCTAGTAAACCGCAAGTTTATCAAATCCCACTTCCTTTTCACTGCTGGTAGAAGAAGAAAAAGTATACTACAAATTTATGGGTTATATTTTTCATGTTACCGTCATCTTACGGGACTTGCATGTATCAGAATAGAATACGTTAAACTGGTAGAGATATTAACACTGTGAAGTAGGAAATAACAACTCCAACGACCTAGAAAAAAAGAGAGAAAATAGGAAAGGTGAATTGTTTTAAAAGTGAAAGAAAGCCTTGAAGTTAGTTCAAGCGCCTCCGTCGCTTTAAAAGCTATTAGCTCAAGAACCAAATCTTTATGGCCAAACATACTGAGGCCTGAAGAGCATTATTAAGCTTAATAATAGGGTAAAAAAAAAAAAAAGATTTGCAAAGTGTAACAAAAAATGATGATTTTCAAGCAAAATACGCGACTTATGTCATGTTATTTTCTCACCTTTAAAATACTTATAAATTGATTGGTTCGTTCATTCATTTATATTTTTTGTGCATTTTTTTCCAAAGCTGAATTTGAAATTTGGTATTATGTAATTACTTAGTAGCTTTAAAGGCTGTGAGATCAATAATGAAACTAATCTCGAACCCAGATCTCTCACGTCCGGGGCAAGGAACTGATCTCAACTTTCAGAGTAAGATAGACTTTCTCAAAGTCCTTCGCTTCTCATTTCCGGTTCCGGTAGTTAGCCCCTGCACGGAGGACTTTTATCACCTGCAGCGCGCCAAAATTTACGGGAGGAATTTTCCTCCTCTAGGTTTTACCCAATCACGAACGGTTTTACTGATGCGCCGTTAATCAAACCCGATCACGCCACATGTAACGTGACTCGAACTGTTTTGATCCAAATTAGGATTCATGGTTCGGACTTGTTTTGACATACTTTGACAGCTCGCGACGACACACCTACGCGACAACACACGCGACAGGGACGCAAATAGTCGGCGCCAAAATGACGTCACTTGATGCGATTTTTTGCAGGGGAAACAAGTCGAGCTCCCGCTCTCTCGCTCGCTTTTGCCGCAGAAAACATAAAAAATCAACCGCTTGCGCTTCGCGCTCATGAAAAAATTTGAGCTCAATTGTAGGCAAGTCTAAAAGTAAGATAGAGTGTATTCTAAGCACGGGATTTTTGCATGTAAACGCTAAAAAAAAAAGAAGAACAACTGCATAACAGGTAAAGTGTAAATGAATCTGGTCCATGTTGAGCAAATGGTTTAATCGGTATGAAAATAGCTGTGAAAATCACTAGACACTATTTAAGAGTGTGTCCATGAGAGAACCAGGCAGGAGGTGATAATGTTCAAATCACTGATTTCGCTCAAACTTGGTACAATTGATGGGTGTGGTGAGATATTAACCTCGACAAAAAAATAAGGTCGCAATATTGAATTCCCTGGGATTTACAGGGAACCCCCTCCTAAAAACGACAAAATCTACTCATTTTTGCATAATTAATTAGCTGACTTTGGTTTGGCTGTTCAACAAGAAGAAAAGACAACTTCAAATCTAATCAACTTTATCATCTTCTATGTTTATCAAACTTAATGCTCAGTAATTTATTTTTACTCTCTAATTCGATCTCTTCCTATTATTTAGCCTAAAGTAAGGACATCTTCTCACTGTTTTGACCAAACCCTAAATTTAAGGTATTTTAGTG